TACCACTACCACTACTACTACTACTTATTACTACTACCACCAGTGTCTTAGATGATAAGGCGGAGATTGCACGCCGGGTCTCACCCGAAAAAGAACTCAATGCTGCGAGTTGTCAGAAATCATGTAATTCCGCAGAGACAACTTCAAGGACGGGAAGCCCAAATCCTCAGACCCTCCCGAGTCTCCTGCTGGCTTTTGCAATAACCCCATATCAGCTTGATATACCACGGGTAGAAACAGCATCACTACGTAAAGGAACGGGCAAACCCTGCATACCCTGAACTGTGTTACTGAAGGGGTATCCCTGAACCCGTCAGCCCAAAAAACCACCGAAAACCCCTGAGCTTGAAGACCCTCCCCGAGCGCTGCGCAAGCCAAAGACTGACGAGAACAGCGGCCTTTCGAGGCACTCTACAGTGCACCAAAGACTGACGAGCAGCAAAAGACGATCAATAAAAAACTGTACATATGATATACATATCCTCCGGAAGAAGTACTTGGTTGAGAGTTGCAAGGGCGCATGCACGAGATTCAGAATAGCGGGAACAAGCGATCTCCAGCTGGTGATCTCCAGCTGGTGCTGGAACCGCATATATCTACTTGGGTGTCTCACGGTGTCTCGATTGGAGTTTGAAGACACCGCGAAGAGGACCAAGCTGTGGAGCTGTGGGCCACAAAGTGCTGATTCGCCGCGCCGGGATGTGACGGTTCAAGGCCTTTGACCCCCCCGGCACCTGCGCTACGGCTTGGACTGCCCTAGGCTCCCTCTACCCGGCTCAAACAGGCCAGGATTGTGGGCCCGCACAGCATGTACACGCTTCCGGGATGCCGGGGAGGCGATCAGTGAAGCCCTTGCTTGAACGGTGGATATGGAGCAGCATCTGCACCCGTTCCTTCAGTCTGGAGATTCCCAGCTTCATTGGCACCATATGCTGAGACGCCATCTAGCAGATGCGCGGCATCAACGACATGCCCACTGCTCGCCGCTGTGAAGTGGATAGTATCACTCATGAGACAGTCACGTGTGGTCATTGCGGTATATCAAGCAGCACTTCGGCGGCCTTGAAGCGACATGTGTATCTCACTCACATGGAGGAAGACGGTCAGATCTCTAGGGCAGCAGAACTGACAAGCCACCTGCATACGACTCCCGTAGTACGAGCATTGTCTAAAAATCCAAAACCCAACTGGCCCAACTTCCATTTCCACACTCCGGGAGCTGCCCAATCATCATTCATCTTACGCATCACCCGGTGATCAAACAAATGTTTCATCAACTGCCCAAAATGCCACCACCGGTCGGCAAAGCCATGATATGTCAGACGCCATGCGGGCAAAACATCAAGAGCTGACATGCATCCTGAAATCTTCGCCTTCAGAACCCTTGCCAGTACTGCGGTGTCTCATGCCAGCCGCGAGGTGCCCATCTGACAGTCGTGTGTTGGCATGCAAACTCTAGCCTATCTGTACACTCGCTTTGCCCGAGGCAAGCCGCTCCCCTTTGCTGCCCCTCATGGCCAAGACGGCGGAAGACTGACAGCTGATCGCTCCACCGGGCGGGGTCCCCAGCATTCCGAGCCAAGGCGAGAACACCTTCGGACCCCGGAGCCAGGCTGCAATGGGGACTCACGGCTAGCAGGCGTCCCTGAGCCACGGCACAGGCATGGACGTGGACGACGATCGAGAGAAGGAACCTCTGGATGGGCACGAAAGGGCCCGAAAGTGGCCGAGGAAAAGGCCACAACCAGCCTGCCAGAGCACGCTCAAATCCTTCCCGGACGAAGTGGGGCAAACAGGGCGACAGCGACGGCACGAGAGACAGCCCCCGGAACTCCCCCAACGAGAAGGAGCTTCAGAAGCGTCATCATCGCTTCGAACCACCTCGCCGCTGTGGTGGTGAGGCGGTTCTGGAAAAGTACCGTTCTCATTGGAGCCTCCAGCTTCTCGGGTTCCTTTTCCTTCAACTCCTTCCACATCTGGCTCGTCTAGCCGCGGCCAAGTTAAGAAAACAAAGGCCGTGTCCTGCCGACTGATCGACATCTGGTTTTCGCGGCTCAGTATCAGAGCCGTCGGCCAAACAGCCGGGATGGTTGTCAGCGGACTCTAAACAGGTCATTGGGTTGAAGTGGGATGCAGAGAAGATGCATATTGTGGATACCACGGGTCCCCCTCAAGACCCTCAGTTCATGCAGGGTGGCTGCTCAAGATGATCACCCTGTGATACCCTGTGCAAGCTTCTGCTGAACCGATTTCATGCCTCTCGCCCCCGTGGGCCTCAATGGTCCTCACTATGTCGCTGGAGGGGGCAAACAAGCTGTGGAAGCATCTCCGACACATTCCAATCGTTGCAGCGGAATGCACTGGCCCAACGGCTTCGACCGCAGACGGGCAGGGCTGGTGGAAGAATTGATGCAAATCAAGCTTGGCAATAACAGCTATCACTGCTACGCTAATGCTGTTGTCATGTGACTCCTGTTTTGCGGCTTCAAAACTTGGCGATTTGCACATGATTCTCCCTCCATCGCTTGAAACAAAATTCGGAGCCTCCTGTCCAAAGAGCACATTTGGCAGAATCTATTCTGGCGAGGGAGAAGCCCAGGATAGGGCCATTAACAGGCCATGTTGCTTCATGATCACGACAGCTTTTCCTTGCTGATGATGGCAAGGCGGCTGTGAAGTGCTCCCAAACTGCGGATGCTTGCGCAGGACTAGTGGACCGGAGCTTACATGGTGCATAACACTCATAAGTTAGGATTTCGAGCGTTGTATCTGAGACTCCCGGCGGGGAGCTGTCCATGGGCGTGTCTGCAAAGGGATCCATCCTGCACCAGGCGGACCAACCCTAAGACCTGCCCGAAAAGACCCCGAAATCCAGGATGCTGCGACGTCTTTTTTTTTTCGAATCCAAACCCTGAGCCGCAAGGCTCCAGGCTCCGTAGCGACAGCATTACTAGTAGCAGGCAGGAACAGCAACAGTAGCAATAGTCGCAACGGCATGAGTACCAGCTAAGCCGTATAGAATCCACAGGGTACGCCATTAAGCCATGAGCACGGTGTGCACTACCTTTTTACTCAGAGGGCTTGAGCAGTAGTCGCGAAT